GCCACCTAAGATACAACTATTAGTCTCTTGGAGCAAAGGATAGTGAAGAAAACCAAAGACTCCATGGAGCAGTTAGTCCAAAGGACTAATGGACCACATGAACCACAGCCCACACAACCCTGACACCAGAAGAACTAGATGTTGCCTGGCTAACACTGCTGACTGCTCTGACTGGGATCCCAGCAGAAGGTCTCGGACAGAGTGGGAGAAAAACATAGAACAAAAAAATCAAATTCACAAAAAAGACCAGACTTACTGGTCTGACAGAGACTATGGCTCTAAGACACTCTTCTGACCTGGAACTGAAGTTATTCCCAGAGACCACATTCCAGCCAAACAATAGACAAGCCCATAAAATAAACAATAACACCAAGAGGAACATTTTTCTTAGAACCACCAATTATACCGGATCAAAAGGGCTTTATTTACCCAAAAGCAAAGATGAGAAGGCAGGAAGGAATTAGAAAATCATAATCAAAGGAAACGGGAAACTCAGGGCAGAAATGGGGAAAGTGCTAACACATTGTGGGGAATAAAACCAAGGCCATGAAAAACTATGTACAAACTATTGAATGGGAATCTAACTTGCTGTGTAACTTTCACCTAATAAACACACACAAATACACAAAAGTTTATTAGTGGTTATTAGGGGCTGAAGGCAGAGGGAAATGGAGAGTTATTACTTAAGGAGTAATGAGTTTCTGTTTGAAAGAAGCCCTGGTGGCATGGTGGTTAAGTGCTTGGTTGCTAACCATAAGGTCAGCGGTTCAAGCCCACCAATCGTTCTGCAGGTGAAAGATGTGGCAGTTTGCTCCTGTAAAGATTACAGCCTTGGAAACCCTATGGGGCAGTTCTACTCTGTCCTATAGGGTCGCTATGAGTCAGAATCGACTCGACGGCAGTGGGTTTGGTTTTTTTCCTTTACTTAAGACACCACAGAGTGCAAAGACAAGCCATGGAATGGGAAACGGTATTGACAGCATTTAGTCAGTAAAGGACTTGTGTCCAGAACACAGAAAATTCCTACAAATCATAAGAAAAAGACCACAACCAAATAGAAAAATAGGCCAAAGACTTAAACAGGCACTTCCTAAAAGAGGAAATTCAAAAGGCTAATGTTATGGTTAATGTTATGTGTCAACTTGGCTAGGCCATGATTTTCAGCGGTTTGGCAGACATTATGTAATCATCCTCCATTTTGTGATCTGATGAGAGCAGCCAATCAGTTGGAAAGGGAGCTTTTTTGGGGGTGTGGCCTACATCCAATATATATGGATGTCCTGGCAAAGCCTGTGCTCTCTCTGGATCTTGAATTCATCTTGTTCTTGTCATCCTCTGACCTCTGGTCCTTGGGATGTGAGCCAGCAGCCTGCCACCTGACCCGCAGATTTTCGATTCGCCAGCTCCTGCAACTCCATGAGCCAGCAGCCTGCCACCTTTTGGGTTCATCAGCCCCTGCTACCACATGAGTCAGGAGAAGCCTCCAGCCTGCCACCTGACCCAAGGATTTGAGATTTGCCAGCCTCTACAACTTTATGAGCCATTTCCCTGAAATAAATCTCTCTCTATATATTTACATGTATGCTTTACTGGTTTTGCTCCTCCAGAGAACCTAGCCTAAGACAGTTAGTAAACACTGAACAGGTGCTCAGTCTCAATAGTAATTCCATAACTAGCCATCAAAGTAAAACCACATTGAGATATCGTTACACGTTAGTCTAACAATACCAAGTGATGGTGAGGATTTGGAGCAATGAGAACTCTCATATTTCGAGTGGGAGTATAAATTGGTACAATCACTTTGGAAAATAGCTTAGCATTAGCTACTACAGGTCAAAATACACACCCTAAAACCCAGCAATTCCATATCTATGAGTACATTTTAGGAAAACTCATGCACATGTTGAGCAAGTGTGGAACAAAGAACTAGATTTGGCTTTTTTGTATCTGGTTCCTGAAAACTGCCAGAGCAATTAAGGCACTCTTTGTCTTTCTTAAAATAGCCAGGCAAGTAGAGGCTACACAGGCCCCACACCTGGTGAACTTGCTTCCAGAAGGGAGGGTGCGTGATTCAGTGAATCATGCATAGCCATTAAACCGTGCATATTCATTGAGGTCCTAATGACTAGGGAACTCGGGCCCCTGGAGTACTCTCTTTGGGGCTTCTAGGATTGGTGAGACCATCCATGCTGGGGGTGGGGGGGGCTGGTAAGGTGCAGTATGTCCCTTGGGACCAAGGGACAATGGAAGCCTCGAGCCGGGATTTCTCCCAGACCTTGCCTGCATGTGTCTCTTCAATTGCATTGTTTCTGGTTATAACAAATGGGTAAGTGTAAGTATAAGTAATAGTTTCTGTAAGTTCTGTTAGTCATTCTAGTGAATTATTGAACCCGCTGGGGGCAGTGAGAGCCAGCAGGGAGGCTGGAATTTGCCTATTTTGCAGGGGCTGGAAGGACAGAATCCAAACTTGTGAAGACCCAACTCTGGGTGGTTAGGGTCAGAGAGAGTTTTTGCCACGGAAGTGGTTGGCAACAAACAATGGAAATGTGGGAAGGTGAAGCCTGGATCCACCTCCAGCTGGGAATTGGACTCATGCTGATCCTTGCCACACAGTTAGCGATAAAGGTGGGGTTTGCCCACCATGCCCTTTCATAGTGCAGTTTGTAGTGTTGTCCTCACACCTGGATTCTGAAGAAGAATGTTCATAGGAGCGCTATTCCTACTACTCTAAACTGGGAACAACCCAAATGCCCATCTACAGGAGAAATCAGAAAGATAAATTATGGTACAGTCATATAATGAAATTCCATACAGCAATGAAAAAGTACAAATAGCTCCAAAGAGTAACATGGATATATTTTACAAATATAATGTGAAATCAAAAGCAAGACATAAAAACAGATACTTTATGATGTCATTTATATTAAGTTAAAAATTTTTTACAAATGACTAGAGAAGTGGTAAGAAAAGCAGAAGCACGAGAGTGATCACCTCTGGGGGGAAGGAGGGGATGTTAGAGGAGTGGCTGGAGGCCTTCTGGAGGGTTGGCAATGCTCTATTTTCTGATCTGAGAGGTTTTTACAAGGGTATTGGCTGTACACTTATTCACTATACCGTTCATTTATGTTTTATGTATGTGTTTTGTATTTGAAATTTTAAAGATCTATAGGAAAAAAGAAGTTAGAAAAGTTGGACACAATCTGGGTGTTTATCACTCAGGAAATGTGTAGATAAAATGTGGTCACTGCATGGAAGAGAGTACAATGAGAGCCAAAGGTAATAACTATCTACATTTATAGAAACATGGTGAGTTCTCACAAACAAGGTTCAACAAAGGAAGAAATAGAATGAGGTCTAGAATACAATGAGCGGCCGCTCTCCCTCTCTATGCAGGTAGTCACTGACTTACAATCGTTTTTTTTTGGTAGTAATAGGTACTACATGCAATGTTGCAGCATGTAATTTGCTGATATTATCATTCTCAAGATGTTCACTTGCAGATGTTCAATGTTATGATTTATAAAGGTACTGATAATAGAAGGTAATAATAATGAAAACTAAAAAAAAAAGAGGTATTCAACTTACATCAGAACTGACTTACAATGGAGTTGTCAGAATAGAACCTCATTCTAAGTTGGGTCTACCTGTATATATATAAACTCATCGCTGTTGAGTAGATTCTGACTCATAGTGACCCTACAGGACAGAGGAGAACTGCCCCACAGGGTTTCCAAGGGGCGCCTGGAGGATTCAAACTGCCGACCTTTTGGTTAGCAGCCGTAGCTCTTAACCACTACGCCACTAGGGTTTCCTGTACATATATACATATGTAAATTTTTTTTAAATATATAATGAAACAATGCTATTTATTTTTCAAGAACACACAGGCATCCAAATAAACCTGTGGAAGATGAATCAGAAAGGAATATATACATATATAATACACTCCAGTGGGTGGACAGCAAACTTTTTCTTAAAGAACCAGGTTTTTTTTAATTATTATTTTACTTGTTTCATTGTGGTTAAGTACACATATAACAAAACATTTGCCATTTCCACATTTTTTACGCATACAATTCAGTGATGATAATGACATTCACTGTGTTCTCTACCTGTCCCCTCTATACACTGCCTTGTTTTGTTTATGTCTGTGCTGGTGAAGGTGCACTGATTTCCAGTACAGCTGGAACCGTGGCCTGATTCTTGTTAGGGCTCCAACGATTTTGCCCACCGTTGCTTTTGCACCATTAGTCCAAACTCCAAAGGCAAATAATGTCTAAGTATTCTGAAAATGGTCCTGACCTCTCAGATCCCTGAGGGGAGGGCAGACCGTGCTCTGAGGACCACTGCTCTAGCCTTTCATTCAACAAGCATTTATTGACAGTTTCCTATGTGCCAAGCCCTAGGACACTCAACTCCACGGGCTCAGGGCCTGCTCAGATCTTTCTTGTTTAGTCCTGTTGTTGCAATTCTGACTCATGCCGACCCCATGTATGCAGAATAGAACTGCTCCATAGAATTTCTGAGGCTGTGACCTTTCAGAAGCAGATCACCAGGCCTGTCTTCCAAGGCGCCTCTGGGTGGGTTCAAACCACGCACTTAACCATTTGAGCCACCCAGGGACTCTTAAGGGGCCAGATTTTGCAGGCTGTTAGGTCTCTGTGGCAACTACTTAACTGTCACTGTAACTCAATGGCAGCCATAGACAGTAAGGCAACCAATCGGCATGGCTGTGTTCCAACAGAATGATACCGACCAAGCCAGGGAGCTTGCCTGGGCTGCAGTTTGCCAAGACCTGGGAAAGAGAACGGGGTTAGTAGAAGGAGAATAGAGGGGGAGATGGAATAAGAGGGGCCTTGCATGGACCAATGACAGACAGTGCCTTGAAGTAAGTATTTTCCAGTAAATGCTGGGAAATGAATTCATTTATAATTTAGAGGCAATCAAAGAAATAAAAAAAGAACCGGTACCTTTTTGTTTTGCCTTCCTTCCACACTTACCTCCTTGCTGTCCGTCACAGGAACCCACTTAAATATCCTAAGGGAAGTGTCACCTACAGTCACCCATTTTTTCTCCCTAAAAGAAAGACATTTCTTAGAACTGATAAAATTATAAAATCGATTTTCTTTTCATCATTTGTGCTTTTCTACTTCTCAGCAGATCATTCCTTCAATCTGGAATGGCTTATACATCTCTCTACCAAATTATATCTTACCTTTCAGCACAAAATAATCCCTTCCAGAAAGACTTCCCTATCAAATGCCTTTGGCTCGAACCCTCTACTTGCCACCTTTCCTCACACACAGTGCGCCAAAGCCTTTTTTCCTTGTAGACTACACCAACATACAGCACAGTACATTTTCAGACCCAGGTATTTACCTGGTTTCACTTCCTTATTTTCCAAAAATTAATTCAATTCCACTGATATTTATAAAGCTCTATTATACAAGGCCCTGCAAGAGATAAAGGAAGTATAAAATACGATACCTATCACCCTGGGAGCTCACAAGGAGTGAAAAAGATAAGTAAGGAAATCATTGTAACACGTGAAGGTGGCAAGGAAGTTGAGAAGGCTGAAAGACCAAGTAAGACTAGGTAAGCCCATGGAGTGCAGAACTCCTCTGATTCCTGTTGGAACTCTGGAGTGAAGCAAAACACAACTTCATTTAAAAATAATCACAGTAGCAGGGCAGGATGCTTCCTGCTATCAAAGCTGAGCCTACACTGGCTTCTGGAGAAGGTAAAGGCCAAGCCATGGGAAAGACTGCTTTAAGGTTTTATTTTACAGAGAAGGTAACTTTTGATATAAGCCTTAACAAATGAGTAGTCTTTTTCCCCCAGGCACATACTTGGGGAAAGGTAAGTGACATTCCAGGATAAGGAGTAGATTATGGACAAGTAGAGGTGGAGGGCCTTAAGTTGTATTTGGAGAACAGCAAGTAATCAAGTTTAATGCTCAAGATACTTCAAAGGAGTTGTGGAAGATAAAGCTGGAAATGTCGCCTGAGGCAGTTTTGGAGAAGGAATTAAGTATCAAATTGAGGAATACACACATCCACACACACAGCACCAGCTGCACGTTATACTATATTCTTTTTCACTTGCCTGTGAGTTACTTGGTGTGCTTTTCTCTTTACCAAATGTGTGTGTTCTTTATTTCTAACTATGCTGCAAGAGTAAAGACTACCATTTATTTCACACATATTCCTCAGTGAAGCCAAGGAAAGCTCTGCATCACCAACCAACCACTTAACCTCACCACTTACGGACTCAAACCATAAAAGGAGGACACTGGAAGCAGTAATTCTAACATTTCTGTAGCCATAGTTCCTTTTTGCTCTTGGATCCCTTCTTGAACACCCTTATTAAAAGATATGATGCCTTTTCCAGTGTTTTGAACTATTAGCCAATTTACCAAAATATTACTTCAGTAAAGACCACAGGCTATTGACACACCTTCAAATCTCTACCATTCCATTACTACTAAAAATACAGTCAGCAGAAATAAATTTATAGGTTATTTTATTCAAATAAATATAAATAAAAAATGTTGTGATAATTTTAGAGATAATCTCTAAGTCTCCAGGCTGCTCCAGGCTTGTGTTGCTATGATGCTGAACAGGTTTCAACAGAGCTTTCAGACTAAGACAGACAAGGAAGAAAGGTCTGGCGATCTACTTCTGAAAACGAGCCAATGAAAACCCTACAGATCACAACAGTCCCATCTGCAACTGATCAGGAGGATGGCGCAGGACTGAGCAACATTTCATTCCACTGTGCATGGGGTCACCATGAGTTGGAACCAACTTGATGGTAGCTAACAATATATCCTTAAGAAGTAAAAAATGGCAAAGATTACCATTACACTCACAAGATAAATAAAGGTATTAGGAGGGATTAAAATCTCGCCCAAGGTCGCTCTCTAAATCACTATTAAGGCCTCACAACTCTATTTAAACCTGATTAAATCAAATGCCAGCGTTCTGAAGTGGCACACAGATGCACCTTCAATGTGCTCATAACGTGTGCGGAGGAGATACAACAAAGGAGACTAGCCTTTGTTCCAAGAGGTTACTTCTCTAAGCATGCCAAGCAGAGTATGAATTTGCTTATTCTAAGAGCCACTAGTGTCCTTACGAGGTGCTTGCCGTCAGCAGGAATGAGGGCCAAATGCAAAACGCTGCTTTGCGACAGATGTGAACCAACTCTGAAGGTTTCAAGTCCAAAACTGTGATCACAAAAAAAAAAAAAAGAACTGAAACTGTTCAGCAAATGATGACATTACAGAAATGGAGAGAGACTGTGATATTACAGAAATGGAGAGAGACTGTGATATAACAGAAAGATGAATGAACTAAAGATTTAAGAAACTGGAATTTATTCCAAGACAGGTCCCTCCATTTCCTCATCTGTTCGAGATGTATTTAACGTACAAATCCATGTATTAGGCCCTGGGGGTGCAGCTGGGGAGAAGATACTCGTTCCTACCTTTGCAGAGCCTGCCCTCCAGCTGGAAACAGACATTAAACAACTAATTTCACAGTCATTTAATCATTAGTTTGAATCATATAAAATTGCCATTTTTGTAGGTTAAATACTCAAATACAAGAAAATTTTCAGGGTTGTGTAAAGTTCTATGAAGTGGACCTGACCTAGATTGAGGATCTTGAAAGGTATCCCCGAGGAGGTGACTTCTGAACTAAGCCTAGGAGTTAACCAGGGAAGGGGGAGGAGAGAGGGGAGGATGAAGGATGCATGGCAGCAGAATGGGAGTGTGGGAAAAAAGCCTCCTGGGAAAGAGGGCAGTTTGAGGGAGGCAGATGAGGCAGGAAGGATCTTCTTTGTTCTTTATCCTGAGAGCAAGAAAAGGCCACTGAAGCATTATTTTCTAACCAGAGAATGCTATGGTACGATTTTTCACTCCAAAAAAGATCACTCTGGTAACTGGAAGTGAGAAAAATGAAATCGCTCGGACTGCAATGTGATGTACAGACTGGGGAGGAGGCCAGAGTAGATGCAGGGAGACTGTGGGGAGGCTGCTGCAGAGTTTGAGGTGAGAGGATGGTCATCTGGCCTAGGCGACTGGTGAGGACAAAGACATCGACGAGGAAAAAAAAGGTGTGCCGATTCTTAGGTTTAACCAAAACCTAGGAGAATTAGATTTAGAGAGGAAAAACCATTAATTACTGATTCTCAATTCTGTATGAAGCCCTTGGATAGAAGCTTTCTCTTGTGGGGAAATGGACAAATAAACACACAAACACAGACCTGAGTAACGATGCCCCCAAAAGGGTGGAGGGTGAGGGGTTAGGGAAAGCTTCCTGGAGGCAACTAACTCCCATCCATCAGGGCTTCTGATAGGGGAAAGGGAAAAGAGAAAGGAAAGGCCTCAGAAGGCATCAAAAAGTTGTCTGTGAGAGTTAAATGTTGATAACGCATCGGAGTTCCTGATACAAAACAGGCGCTCATTCAGTGTCTTCAATGACCATGACGAGAGTCGCCTCCAACCAAAGGCTAGGCCTGGAACCCTCCACTAATAGCCCCCAGGGCACAAAAAAATACCAATCAAGTTTGCAGCGTGTGGGCTGAAAGTGACACCTGAGGGATGTTAGAGAAAGAGACGGCATTCGATTTCGATGGCCACGGAGGCTTCCGCTGGCAGGTAGATTTAAGGAGAAACTCTTACCAAACTTAAATGAGTTAATACAGAAAGCGCTCAGGATGGCACACTGAACAGTCAACGGTTGCCAGCTATTATAATGGGGCAGTTCAAAAACGCAATCCTGAGAAAACCGGGCGGCGGCGACGACACCCAGGTAAGCAGGAAGGCGTGCCTGCTCCCGGTCTAGGCGCGAGAACACGGCCAGCATGCAGAGCTCTAGGCCCTGCGGACCGTGCCCCGGCCGAACGCCCGCAGCCCATCCCCAGCGACGCGCGGCCAGGTGGGCGGACCCAGGAGTCGGGCGGACCCAGGAGTCGGGCGACCCGCTCATTGGTTACGGCAGGCGCGCCCTCTGACCTCACGCCGACGCGAGTTGTACCCTCCTCCCGCTGTCTACTCTCCCCCTCCCCCCAAGCGCTTGCCGGTCGGCTCCCACCCCGCCTGCCAGTCCAGCGTTCCTCTGGGCCTCGGCTGGCGACCCCTCCCAGGATCCCCGGCTCCAGCCCCTCACCATTTCCGCACTTTCTCGATGGCCGCCATCACCTTCTTGATGTCGTCCTTGGCCCGGCTGCGGGTCTCGGCCCGGACCGACCGGCCCGACATGGCGGCGGCGGGGGCTGGGGCACTGCTCCCAAAGCACGGGAATCGCGCGCCGCCCGCGCCGCCGCCCGCTTTAGTAGCGTCACTGCTGCCGTAGCCCCTTCCGTGCGCGCGTGCGCGAGGAAGCGCGCGCGCTCGCCCGCCTCTCGGGGCTCGAGGCCTCAGCGCGCTTGCGCGCCCGCCGCGGGCGTCCCTCCTTAGGCGTGCCGGGAGTCCCCTCAGCGCCGCGCAGGCCCGGGTGCGCGGCGAGTGGGCAGCACGTGCTGTGGGCAGGGGAGGTGCGAAGCCGTGGCTCTTCTTCAAGGGGTTCAGAGGCCAGCACTTTCCTAGAGTTGGTGCTACAACTTATATTCTATGGATTTGACGCTAAAGACACCGAGCGTCTACTCTATCCTGTCCTGCCTCTCCTGTCAGCACCCTAGCTCCCCAGATCACAGAAATTTCACACCTTTCTCCAGGATGCCTCTGGCCTTTGCATACACCTGGTCCCAGCCTGGAATTCTCTTATCTCGTCACTTAATGAACTAACGTTTCCAACATTCAGTTGAAACTCAGAGACACCTCCTCCGAATTTCGTAGACACCTTGTTCTCTAGAGCCTCTGTGAGTCTGAACCAAAGATACCACCTTGTTCATACTTACATCACTTGTCTCGTTTCATATAGCAGTTGACTAGATGATGCCTACTTTTTACAAAGTTCTATGCGAAGTGCCAAGGACACAAGGATTTTTACACACCTAAGAACTCTCAGTTTAGTAGAATATGCAGATCTGAAAAGAGGCATTTAAACTGTCATTTGATAACGGCTAGGCTAAGAGAAGTACTGGGTGCTATGACAGCTCTAACCTAGATGAGGGTTTTCCAGAAGGCTTGGGGAGGACCTTGAAGCTGACCTCTGAAAATACGGTAGACGCTTTTGCTGTAGGGCCTAACAATGTTCACAGGCACTTAGATGTGCCTTAAATGTTTATTGACCGATACAGCTAATGAGCAGAGTAGGCATCATAAGTTGTGCTGGTGAGAGGGTCAAGAATAGCTTCTACCTGACTCAGCACTTGCACCAGCAAGTGGAGAGAAAGGATGATTCTAGAAATGGGATCAAAGATAGCACATCTGTTTCTCAAAACCAACTGATCCAAAATAACCCACAGCATGAGCCCTGCTATATGCCCTATAGCAGTGGACACCGTGGATGATGCAAAGACGAGTAAGACACACTCCCTGCCCTCCAGGTGAGGCTAAGGAAAGCACCAGGAAAATAAAACAGTAATACACAAGGCAGAACATGCTAAGTGCCGGGAGAGAGGCCAGCTCTCTAGACTTCTCCGATTCTGTTCATAGGTCTCCCTGGTGCAGGCACACAGCCCAACACCTGGCAGTTATGTCTAACCTCTCTCTGACCCTTGTCCAAGTTCTGATCAGCCTCCTCGCACCCCCACCTCCAGAGGTTTCTGCCCTATAGCTTCTCTCCACCTGACAGCTGCACTGGTCTCCCGCATCCAACCCTCCTCCAGCCCATGCTACCCCACGGCCAGTGAGTCAGTCTTTCTGACTGGCATTCTGACCAGGCCATCCCCAGCTCCAAAGTCCCAGTGACCCCGTTAGCTGCTCACATTTGTCCACCTTGCCCTACGTTCCCCACCTCATCTCCCACTGCAGCTCTGTGTGAAAGAGTATCAAAGCAGGCACATTCCAACTATTCTCCACAGACCACACAAATGTTGACTTCTTTTTCTTTTTGAAAATTACACCTTGACATTTTTGAGATGAAAGCCTGTTGCTTGATGCTGAGGGGGATGCTGAAATCAGCCAGCCCAGGCCTCGTCCTTGAAGAACTTGCATTCAAGGCAATGGCTTCCCTTCTCACTCAGAGGAAAAGCTATAGTGGCCTACAATGCCTCACACCATCTGCTTGCCACACCTCTCCCATGAATTCTCTGACCTCATGTCATAACTTTCCCCCTTAGCACTCTCCAACTATACTGGCCTCCCTGCTAATCTGAAAACATTCACTCAAGCTCCTGCCTCAGGGCCTTCGCACTGAAGGTCCTTCCACCTGGAACACCCATCCCCCCATATATGTGCATGGCTCACCCCCTCACCCTACCTTTAATCTTTTCTCAGTGCAGCCTTCCCTACCCACCCTACCTAAGGCTGCAACATCTGTCCCACGCACACTCCCTATTTCCTTTCCCAAATTTTTCTCCAGCGCATTCATCATCTAAAATACTATTTATCTTGGTTATTATCTCCTGATTTCAGTTGCTCCATGAAGGTAGCAACATGGTCCATTTGTTCACCAATTGTCCCTAATACCTAGAACAGAGCCTGGCACTCGGCAGGCGCTCATAAATACTTGTTGAATGAGTGAATGACCAACCTCAATGCTTTCCCCTTCCGTGAAGCCTTCCTAGATCACTCCAAGCAGAAGGAAGGAAGCCTCCCTCTCATGAACCCCCACAGCACTCTGAACACATTCTGTATTATACCCTGAACTCTCCTAAGAGGCAAGGATTTCCAAGGCAGGATTTTGAGACAAAAAGCCACCCTGAAGACCACTCGTGCCTACAGAAACCTGTCTGGGAAGCCGCATGGAGTAGGAGTCTCAAACACACTGAGGTTCCTCTCTCTTTCCTCCTTCATGGGTTCAGATGGGAGACAAGAGGATAAGGATCAATGTCTCCCTCCTTTCTGCAAAAGCCACTGGAAGCTTTACTCCTGTGTCAGGCCACAGAAGCCAAAAAGCAGTGTTGAGGAGCAAAGGAGACACGTGAGATGTTGTGAAGTACTCCCTGGGCACTCTTTAAGCAGCAACAATGGAAACCCCTGGAATTCATTGAGAGAGAGGTTGTAGGGGCTAAAAATGGAAATAATTCAAGGAGGCCTTCAGAACTTTCCCAGGTGGCGGTTCCCTGGTGCATTGTTAATGAGAAGTGCCAGGAAGCGAGAAACAAGAATATAGCCAGTGAGGACACAGCACAGGCAGAGAGAGCCCAGTGGTTCCCCAAACATGAGGCTCACCCAAGAAAGTTGTTAGAATGCAGATTCCTGGGCCTCGTCCCCTAGGTTTTGTCTCCATAGTTCTGTAGATGGCTTGGTATGTGTTTTGTTTCTGTTTAAAAGTTAAAAAATAAAAAAACAAGTCCCTCCCTCCTGGTCCCGCAGTCACCCTGTTGCCCTCTGCCTAACCTTCCAGAGACAGTCTACATCGATGCTCTCAACCTTGGCTGCACCTGGGTCCCTCCCTGGTTTAGTGGTCCACGGTGGAGCCTGGACATTGGGGTTTGTTTTTTAAGCTTTCCAGATCACTGTAATGTACAGCCAAGTTTGCGAACCACTGGTCCACATATTTACAAACATATATCTGAAAGTACATATTCCTTTCTTTTACTACACAAATTGTAGCACACTGCACTATTCTGTACCTTGATATCTCATGTAATATATCATTGTATTAGGGTTCAGTTGCTGCTGTGACAAATTACCACAAACTTAGTGGTTTAAAGCAACACTAACTCATTAGCTTATAGTTCTGTAGACTAGAAGTCCAACATGGATCTCATCACAGGGTTAAGATTAAGGTACCAGGAGCATTCATTCCTTTCTGTAGGCTCTAGGGGAGAATCTGTGTCCTTGCCTTTTGCAGTTTCTAGAGGCCACTCCCTTTCCTTGGTGTGATGGTTGCTATGTGTCAACTTGGCGAGGCTATGATTCTCAGTGGTTTGGCAGACACTGTGTAATCACCTCCCATTTTGTGATCTAATGTGAGCAGCCAATCAGTTGGAAGGGGAGTTTCCTTGGGGGTATGGCTGACATCCATGATATAAATGGATTCTCTGACAAAGCTCTCTCTCTCAATCCTGCATTCGTCTCATCGACATCTAACATCTGGTTCTTGGGTCATGCGAGGCCTTCATTCAGCCTGCTGCCTGACCTGCAGATTTGGATTCACGTCTCCTGCAACCCCACGAGCCAGTAGCCTGCTGCCTGACCTGCAGATTTTGGGTTCGTCGGGCCCTGCAACCACATGAGTCAGAAGCCTCCAGCCTGCTGCCTGGCCCAAGGATTTGGGACTTGTCAGCCTCCACAATTTCGTGAGCAATTTTCTTGAAATAAATCTATATATATTTATATATATGCTTCACTGGTTTTGCTCCTCTAGAAAACCCAGCCCAAGACACTTGGCTCATAGCCCCCTTCTCCATCTTCAAAGCCAGCAATGTCAGGTTGAGTCCTTCTCATGCTACCATCTCTCTTTGCTTCCTTCTTCCACTTTTAAGGACCCTTGTGATTATACTGAGCCCATTCAGATAATCCAGGATAACCTCCTATCTTGAAGTCAGCTGATTAGCAATGCTAATTCTATCTGCTGTGCAACAGGCTCCAGGAATTAGGACATGGACATCTTTAGGGGCCATTATTCTGCTACCGTATCAGAGACATTTGTCCATCTCTACAAGGAAAATGTATTTTTAAAAAGATGATTTAATATGCAGCCCAGTTTGAGAGCCAATGCTGGGACCCAGCTCAGAAAGAATATGTAAGGCTGAGTGGGGAGCTCTGACCCAGTTTCAGTGTTTATTCTCCTTTCATAAAAACAAACAAGCAAAAATGTTCTTTATTTACGATGTGTAACCTAGATGTGTACATACAGCCAGTCCTGGCTTCTTCCCACAGACACCAAAAAACGAAATTAAAACAAACCCATTGCTGTTGAGTCGATTCTGATTCATGGCAACCCCATGTAAATTGAACTGCTCCATAGTTTTCTTGGCTATAATCATTACAGAAGCAGATTGCTAGACCTTTCTTCTGTGGCACCACAGGGTAGGTTCGAATTGCCAACTTTTCAGGTATTAGTTGAGCAAAAACCATTTGAGCGACCTAGGGATCTTTCCCACAGCAGGGAGGAAGTATCTAGTATATTCTGCACTGACCATAGTGCCAGGCAGACTCATGAAAGGCTCTCGGTGACTATTTAAAGAAGGAAGGGAGGGAGGAAAGGAGGAAGAGAAGGTCTTCTTACCTGTTCTCCTGATACTGGAATTGCCCAGTTCCCCATCTACCTCTCTGACCACAACTGTTTCCT